TTCCGCTCTTTATAACCCGTGAATTTGTTCTTTTCCAGCATCAAGATGGAAGCTTAGACACATGGAATAGATTTTCTAGTCATTACTCTTAAATGTTAATGTATACGCTGATTTTTTCACTTATTACAAATTTCAGTCTGGTTTATTATCATAAACTTTAGACTTTCAACCAACCTGTAGTTTCTCATTTTCAGTAGCTCAGGCCTGTCTCATCCTAGGAATTCTATAGTGTGAAAGGAAACGTATAGACAGCTCTTCAACTTTTCTTCATTTTTCTCTTGAATTTGTCCTTCTTCATTCACGGTGTGCCCCTGGTTTTCCAGAGTCATGAACAGTTGGGGTTGGGAGGAGAGTAAAGAGGTAGAAAAGGTCCTGATCGCTGGTATGTTTGTAGTCGGCCTTGGTGTACTCCAGCTATGGCAAATGACCAGATGTTGGTCTTTCCCGGTGTAGTGTTTTTGTTTTGTTTTGTTTTGTTATTGTTTTTGCTTGGGGGGAGTGGTCCCTGGGAGATCCCCCATTGGGGATGTCCAGTTGCAATTCCTGGTGGAGACCCAACTGGCTGCTGAAGAGTCTCATCAGTTCTTGGATTCTCGTGGTCCATGTCCAGACTCAGCTGGTGAGGAGCGTCTCTCCCAGGTGGTCTTTGTGGACAGAGTTTCTTTCAAGCCCACCTGCGGAGGACCCCCTTGCTTGGGTTCCACATTTGCCTTTAGCAAGCACATGGCTTTACGCCATGTGTGCTGGAAGCACAATGCACGCCCACTTAGCCTCTCCTTTCACTCTGCCACCACAGGCTGCTCAGATCACTCTCCACTTCAGAGGTTTCTCAGGCATTTGTCAGTTAAAAGAACCTGCATCCCCCAAATTCTACGAAATACAGACCAGGTAGTTCTTTCTGAAGCCATCCTCCCATAGGTAGGCTGTGAGAGGAAACCGGGAAGCAGCGTTGTCGTTTTCTCAGGGTTATAAATGATGGAGTCGGAAACCAAGTGTGGCTGTCCTGAATGTCATCCTCTCTTCTTGACGTCTTGTTTCATGTGGACATCATGGGCCTAGCACGGTGCCTGCAATGTGGTCCGTCCTCCACAAATACTTGTCGAACGGATGGCAGTGTACTGAGAGAGCTGGGACTCTCAGAGACCTGAGAGAGATGGAAACCGTATTTGTTGGGCATTTGTAGGGTTTCAGGTGCCACACGCAGCATTTCATGTCATTCACTGTCTGCAATAATGCTAAAAGGTGGGTAACATCACTTTCAGGTAAGAAAACGGAGGCTTAGACATGTGATATCATAGGGCGGAGAAGCATTTGAACACAGGGCTCTCCCTCCATGCTCTTTACTTTGTCCTTTATTATAATTCCAATTGTCCCCACCTAATTCGATGGCTTAGGGTGGGCCTGAGTCCTTGTGTCTCTACCTTAAGTAGTAAGTTAATCACATTATACCTGCTACTTCAAATATATTCCTACAAAAATATTGACTCTCAAGTGAGTGTATAAGAGAATTGCTTTTATTTGATGGTGAGCAGTTTATTTAGTTTTCAATATTCTTCAAAGGCCACGTAAGCATTTTCTTCATAGCATACGAGGAGTTTTACCTGACTTTATAACTTATTTTTTTCTCCCCCGTGGTCAGATATTACTAACGGGCGGTGTGTAATTGTTTTTGCACCGTCTATATATGAGGGGGCATATACACCTTATGTGTATCATTTTTAAATAGAGATGAGTATGAATTACCAAAACTGGCTTTCCATGATTTATAATGTTCTTTTTATTTACAGCAAGGGTACACAAACCACAGCCCCCGGGCCAAATCTGGCCAGTTCTTTATTTTTGTAAATAAATCGACCCATAGCTATACCCCTTCTTTTTAATGTTATGAATTGCTGCTTTCATGCTGTTGCAAGAGACTCTATGTCCCAGAAAGCTTACAATATTTACTATCTGTTCCTTTAGGGAAAAAAATATTAAAGTCATTTCCTCTGTTTTTTCTAGAAATATCAGATATGCAGAAACTATATTAATGAATGCAGTTTCCCATTTACCAATCATGTTTGACATGACATACATGCAGATACCAAACCGAATTCTTCAGGTGCCTCAACTTCTTTAAGGAATGAGTTATATATATTTAGGAAAAGATGCACGCATTAGTTTGAGTCACCAGAATGCATGTAGTGACTCTTTCAATTTAATAAACTCTGTTAAGTAGCTACTCCGTTTCAATCAGTGGGAGTATAAAAATGAATAAGAAAGTGTCTGAATGCTCTGGGGCCCACAGGCTAGGTTGGTTAGGGAAGACACCATCAGAAGATAGCAGAACTATGTTTTGAAAAATAACTTGGAAGTAGAGAGACCATTCCAGGCCAATGTCACTGCTACTGAGGATGAAATAGTACCTGTTGGACTCTCAGAACTAATGTGGGATCCAAAGAACATTCTAAATTCAGTCGGAAACTATCATTACGATTTATAAATGACAGCTTTCCTG